TGGCGGGCGTGTGATTCAAGTGATATATATGTCCTGTATTTTAGGCCATCATCGACACTCGTTGTTTCCAGTTTGATTTTGTATTCGAAGCCAACGATTCACAGGAATGTGTCTATCAGTCATGTGCGTTTCCTATAGTTGACAAGCTGTTCGAAGGTTGGCGCATGCATCTGATTCAGTACTTCTGAACGGACAGCTATTTATAGGATATAACTGCACGATTCTTGCCTATGGCCAGACAGGAAGCGGCAAGACTTATACGATGGGCAGCGAGGAGACCGTACAAGACCTAGTGAGACCGACGGCGGGCATCATACCACGGATGGTGCAGGATATTTTCCGTAATATTGAGCGATCCTCGGAATTCTGTTTTCGCTTGTCGTGTTCCATGTTGGAGGTGAAGTCTTTTCGCTGCGCTATTCAGTTTTATCTATAGTTTTATTTAGATATACAATGAAAACGTGCGTGACCTTTTGGGTAGAAGGGACGCGCTTCAGATCCGAGAAGATGTCCAGCAGGGAATTTTCGTAGGCATATCTTTTATACATGCTGTATTTCAAAACAATCCAGAGTTTTTGTCTTGGTATTAATAGGATTTTCATACATTTTGAGTCACTCTCTAAGTAGTATTTAAAATGTTTAATTTTTAAATGGTTTAATTTCATTTTTGCAGATTTTAATAGATTGTTATTGATTGAAGGGGGGCCCCCCTGCAAAATGGGCATCAGACTGCATCACGCTGCGCATCACAAGTTCTAGCCTGACGACACTAGGAAACCATTTTGTCCGTTTCGCTTAGAGGTCATCACCTCGTTACCGCTTATTGACTGTGTGCACCAATGCACAATATGGTGAAATCTTTGTTCCAAAGAATTAGTAGTTAATAAAAGAAATATATCCCCGCGCTTTGGGTTTAAACCTGTCACTTATGCGTTGCAAAGCAAACTATTAATGTCCTCTATCATGGCAGCGAAGCTTGAGAAAGTTATTTACTGTTTGTAAGTGCATCAACATCGTTTCTTTCTTAGCCCTTTATGTGCATCATTTTGGTAAGTGTGGACCTATAATAGCGTAGCGGGTCAATGTCAGAGCATCAATCGTATAAATAGCTGACACAGCGTTGGAGAGTGCTATGAAACGAAACCAGCTGTTTAATGGATCAGATATAAGCAAATTTAAACAAAGTAAGATTTTTTATATTTACAGATCAGGCTCGTTATAGATATTTAAACTTAAATTAAACTATCTCTTATCGATTAAAGAGAGCATTCTACTCCTGAACCACTCCGGCCTTCCAATCTGTAATAGTAGAGTCGAATTCTAGATCAGAAAGTATTCTGGCAGACCATCCGTCCTCTCTGATAT